CTGTCAATATGGGGTGCTGTGTGTACATTAATGAGGAAAAAAATGAACTTAAATGATTTTAGCATATGGCTGCAATATAACAAAGAGTGAAAAATTTAAGGGGGTCTGAATACTTTCCATACCCACTGTATAGGGGCAATGAATTCCACAACTTTGGAGCCCCCACGCCAAAAGCCCTGTCCCCCCTAAGTCTCAGCCTAGCTCTCGGTATCTCAAGAAGCAGCTGATCAGCTGATCTGAGGCACCGAGAAGGTTTATAGGGATGCAACAACTTTGTAAGATAAGAGGGGGCCAGATAAATAAAAGAATCTTAAAATGAATTCTAAAATACACCGGCAACCGGTGAAGAGAAGCCAGATCAATCAAGTGTCTGTTGATGTATACAACCCTAATTTCAGGTCAAAGCTAGCTCCTAACAATGGCCAAGAGCAAAGTTGATTCTGAAAACAGAGCCTTTCAAAACCGGTGGGAGGCTGAGTATTTGTTTACTGACATATCTGGTAAAGCCAATCACAGCAGACGTTTTCACCAAAGCGAAATCACACAGTGAAGCTGCTGTGAAAGAAGTTTTATTGTGGCAGAGGAGAAAATCAGCCCAGACATTTACCGAGGGAGTTTCTGAAGAGCTGCGTGATGAAAGTGTGTGACGTCTTGTGTCCAGACAAAAAGCAGGTGTTTGCAAATGTAAGCCTTAGCAGAAATACGGTTGCTGATTTTAAGTTTATTAATTTTGGAATAATATTGTATCCTGTCTGTTTCGATTCATATTTATGTTAAACATTTAGTTTTAAGTCTGTTCGATAAATGTTTATCCTGTTCGGCCCACGACCTAAAGTGTGCTTTGAGTTTTGGCCCCCTGTACGATTGAATTTGACACTCCTGCTGTACACAATTACAGATGTTCAGATTCAAGATTTTGAATGTACATCCCACATTTAAACTATAAAAGCCCTGAGGGATCACAGACATTTAAATACAATTTATTGTCAGTTTCCAGGTGAGAGAAGAACAGGAAAGCAGGCTTGTCTTTCCTGACTTCTTTGCCTGATCATGTGGTGACAGTGTTAAAGGCTAAACACAAGCTTTTTCACAGGGTTTCCGTGGGGACTCCGTCAATACTCAGGTGCTGAATAAGGATGCAGATGGACTTTGTCGACTCTCCCAGGCAGCTCTCTCCCTCTTTGAGGAGGTAAAAGAGAATTTAGTCACACACTTTAACCTGCAGTACAGGCACTGTTAAGAACAATTATACTTTCCTGTGATTGACTTAAAGGACCTTGCTTTCACCCCTTCTGACAGATTTGTAACTTAGCATCCTACTGCCTGTGCTCCTGCAGCACCGATGCCGCTGCTCCTGGCACAGATAGTGACACAGTCATGGTGTATGTGTGGGGCAGCAACAGCAGCCATCAGCTGGCAGAAGGAACTCTGGAGAAAATCCTTCTGCCAAAACTGACGCAGGGTTTCAGTGATGCCCAAATGGTATGGTCACCCATAAATATGGGACTAACACTAACCACAGGTGTCACATTTTACAGTTAATACAGTTTAGAACAGTAAATATATTAAACTGTTTATGAATAGGAGTTATGTATAGTATAAAACATTATTTTGGACTTTGTCAGCAGTTTCTTTTTTTCCTCTTTGTCTCATCACTTTAAAGTACATCTTGCTCAGTCACAAAAATGTATTTAACTTTATCCTCATATTTTTGTAGCTACTTATTTCTTTATTTCTTATATTGTACAAAGCTGTACATGCCCATCTCAAATGTGTTTTGTGCTTTCTATGTCAGTAGCCTGTATTTGTCATTTTTGGAAAGCAAATGCGATGCCTGCCTCAGATAGCCGTAGTATTTTTATAGTCAGATTATTTTTTTAACTTTAATGCTTATTTTCTAAAATGTTTTTCAAATATTCTTCTACAGCTGTACATCTGTAATCCTGTGTTCCTGCTTTTACCCACTTTGTTCTACATGTAGATTGAGGCGGGTCAGTACTGTACCTTCTCAGTATCCGCAGATGGTTCAGTGAAAGCATGTGGGAAAGGCAGCTATGGCCGTCTGGGCCTGGGGGACTCCAACAACCAGTCCATACCCAAGAAACTTGTGCTGGAGCCACACAGGAATATGAAGAAGGTGTCATCCTCTAAGGGCTCTGATGGTCACACTTTAGCCATCACTGTAGAGGGAGAGGTAGGAAGTTAGAATGACTGGTAGAGGATTTACTCCTGGCATATTTTTCAAAAGTTTGTAGACTGAAGTGTAAAACCGGAAAAACACATAAGACTAGTAACTGTGCCTCTGAGATTTTAATTAATAGATGACATTATGTCTTCATAATATAAGATTCTCAAACTATTTCTTCCAGGTGTTCAGCTGGGGTGATGGAGAGTATGGGAAGCTGGGCCATGGCAACAGTGCTACACAAAAATACCCCAAAATCATTCAAGGGCCGCTTACAGGGAAAGTAAGAATACAGGAAATGCATGTCAGCATGTAGGGGAAAAGATAGGTGGAATATACTTAATGGGAGTGACTTTTTTCATATGTAGTTTTTTTTTAAAGCTGTGAAGTAATTTGATATAATTTGTTATGTATGTGTCTGCTAGGTTGTTGTCTGTGTGTCTGCTGGCTACAGACACAGTGCTGCTGTGACTAATGATGGAGAGCTTTACACATGGGGAGAAGGAGATTTTGGCAGACTTGGTACACACGTTCATTCTCAAGTTACTGGTTTTTATTCGTCTCAGCAATTTTTCAAAGTGAAATCCTTTCTCTGGTTTGTTAGATGCATGCTGTATTTCTTTCTGGTCAGGCCACAGTGATAGCCAGAGTCGAAACATGCCCACACTGGTGAAGGACATCAGTGGTGTAGGTCAGGTGGCCTGTGAGGTCAGGTGGCCTGTGGCAGCTCCCACACCATTGCTGTGGCACAGGATGGGCGCACTGTGTGGTCCTTTGGTGGAGGGGACAATGGTATGTTGACAGAAGACACAGCATCACACACTGAGTGGAAATTAATAGGCAACTGCTTGAGCAGAGAATGTGTTTCTTTCTGTGCCTTTCATGAAACGAACACACACAGTTTTTTTAACTGAAAGGTAGCAACCAGAACAGAAATATCTTGAGCTGGTGTGAACTAATGCCAGTACACGTACATCACTGCATCCCTGCAGGTAAACTAGGTCATGGAGACACCAATCGGGTCTATTGCCCCAAGGTCGTAGAGGCCCTGCATGGATTCATCATCAGGAAAGTGTGTGCTGGCAGCCAGTCATCTCTTGCCCTTACTTCTGCAGGACAGGTAAAATAAGATGTTTTGACTAACACCAACTAAGCCCTCTCTAAAAAACCTTTTGTTTTGAAGCATCATACTAACAGTTCTTACTGTTAGTATGATGCTTATTACTGCACTTGATTTGGTCAGTCCAAATATATTTGTATTTGATTACCGGAATACCTGGACTAGATAGATATCTTTGTCAGTAATGCATTCATTTGTATTTATTTATGTTGTTTCTTTAGGTGTTTGCATGGGGCTGTGGCTCATGCTTAGGGTGTGGCTCCTCTGAGATGACCTCCCTGAGGCCCAGGTTCATAGAGGACCTGAATATCACCAAGATCATTGATATCTCATGTGGCGACAGCCACTGTCTGGCTCTGTCCCATGGTAAGATACCTTCAGCAGTTAATAGTTACTCAGATGATTACAGAAATAAAAACTCAACTTTGCTTTCAGATTTTTATTTTTGATGTGAGAATTAAAATTTTTATAGGTTTGTAAAATGGATGTTAAAATTGTGAATGCGCCTCGATTTCGGTGTATGCTGTTCTACTTTCATCAGAGAACGAAGTGTACGCCTGGGGGAACAACACCATGGGCCAGTGTGGGCAAGGCCAGACTTCTACACCTATTACCAAACCCAAGAAAGTGCTGGGCCTAGAGGGGGTTTCAATCCAGCAAATAACTGCTGGCACTTCTCATAGCTTGGCTTGGACTGCTGTTCCAACTGACAGGTAAAGGCTGAAACTAATTTAAATGCAAATGTACAGTTTACTCGGTGAGTGGGGTCCGTCTCCTTTTAGGAAATGGTTGTGTTTCCTTGGTGTCATGGAAGATATGTTCTATTTGTCTACAACTTAAACATATGTGATCTCACCAAAGAATTGAATGTTCAGTGTTGTTTTATATCATTAAACCGTTTTTCACCCACTGCTATTTTCCCAGCACAGCTCTTATTAAGTGACATAGTATTTTTCCAGGCAGCTGGTGGCATGGCACAGGCCTTTTTGTGTCGACTTGGAAGAGAGTACATTCGCCTACCTACGCAACTTCCTAGAAAGTTACTGTGATGGCATCGAGAATGACACACCCCCTGCTCCATTCTTATCAAAAAGGTATCAAATTACCTCATAGTCACAATAATGTACTCCGTCACCTCAAGTTTGCTATTTTTGTTATTATTGTAAACTTTGTTTAAGCATAGAATCAATGCAAAAATGTTGCTCACCATCAACATGAAGGACACTGTGCACTGAACCCACTCTCCTAATGCTCTTTGTATCTGTTCCTCAGGGACCATCACCAGTTTCTTTTGCTGTGCATGAAGCTGCTATCCATCCACTTATCCTTGGCCCATGCTGGGGGTACTGGTGCCATGGTTTTAGGGGCTCAGGGCAGGCCCCTCAGAAACCTACTCTTCAGGCTTATAGACACCAATATGCCAGACTCCATACAACAGGTAAAATAAAAATATATCCCATACTAACATATGATACAGTATAGTATATTATTATTGTCTTGGTTCTTACACCAGCAGCCAAAACAAAGAGTTTGTGTTGTTTGAACCTATATGTGCTAATTTTGTTTTGTGTATTACGTGAAAGAAATACTAAGACTTTATGTGTTTATTTTCATACTGTGCTGACATTGCTGTCCATTCTCAGGCAGTTTTGAACACACTGTCCATCGGTGCATCTCTGCTGCTGCCTCCACTGAGGGAAAGAACAGAACTGCTCCTGTCCCTACTTCCTCAAGGCCCACAGAGCTTGAATGCCCTCTCTAAAGGGCAGGTATGTAGAGTTCTTGAAAAGTTGCCAACAATCTTGCTATTTAGTAGTGATGCTGTTCATTATGACCAAATGTGGTTTATATGCATTTTTCCTTCAATATAGTAATTGTCAAGAAAGTGGTCCATATAGATGTTGTCAGTGCAGGACACAGTTCACCCATTTTAACTGCCATAAAAAGGCCATTTTGTATTTAGTGTTCTGCACTGGCTGCTTGGCTTCCCCTACCTTAGCAGTGACTCTGATCCAGGTAGTTAGCTAGAAAATGGATCTCACTAGCAAACAGTATTTGTCAAAATCACAGTAGCAACTTCAAGTGTTGCTAGGGAAAATGTGAAGACTGTTGATGTTGTGAAAATATTACTTTATCACCGCAGCACTATTTTAGTGACATTTAAACGATCAGGTTCCAGACAGCTTTCACTTCTTCTTTCCTCTGTATCTTTGAAAGCGCTTGCAGTTAGACATGGTTCTCAGCAGTCTTCAGGATCAGAGCCATGTAGCTTCTCTACTAGGCTACAGCAGTTTTGGGGAGGTGACAGCCCTGGGGCCTCCTCTGACACCCGCTATGTCAGTCCAGCCAACCTCTTCATCCAGCTCTGTTGAGGTCTGTGACCCTCTGCACTTAACCGAGGTGCTGCTCAGAACCCTGCTCCTCAGCATAGGCTTTTACACGGTATGAAATAGAGGATCTCATGTGTTTGCGTGCAACTTTTCATCTTGAGTGTCCCAGAACTGTTCCTTTAACTTGTTGATAATTTGTTGTACATTGTTACAGTAATATTCTTACTACTTAGAAGATGAATGAATGTTCTTACTACTCCATGTGCATTCTCTGTGTATGTTCATACAGGAGAGAGCATTTGGGGAACTGGAGAAAAACAGTGACAAGCAGCTATCCAGTGATAGCCAGGGACAGACTGATCCTCCCTGTCACTTCCATCAGCTGCTGTCTGGACTTAACAAACACCTGCTTGCCCACTGTTACATCCACTCCAGTCCTGAGGTACAGTACATAAGATGAGATACTGGAACTACACATTTGTACAATATACTTACAGCTCACATTTATTTAAACCTATTTTACCCAAAGCTTATAGGTTTACAGTATATTCATTTCTGATTTAATTTGAAGATGAATTCCATGAGGTATATCATTTTATAGGTTTATTTAAGTTACCATTTATTTTGCTTTTCTGTAGGATGATAGCAGTGTAACGCTGCTTCGTGAGCATCTTTACCTGCTGCTTCCCTGTGCTGCTGAGACTCTTAAGAGATCTACAAAACTGTTGAAGGAGACATCCCTGGATACACAAATTATCAACAAGATGCACAGTAAGAATAATGGCTGTTAACAAGTGTGTGTCATTTATAACCTAGTTAATCTGCTGTCCCATATATTTTCTTTGTTGTTATGTCAGTTTTCCATGGCTCTTTTATCACAAAATACAATTAAAATAAAATCTCTGACACAGTTTTCTGTTTTTATCTAATGATTATTGGAAGACAGTTTCAAAACATTTATACAGCAGATATCTCTGTATGGGTTTGTGTGCTGAAGACAGCATCAAGAGTAATTATGCGTTTTTAATTATTATTATATAATATATAACATCCATAGACTTCAGAGCAGTGTATCAACAATTAGGTATTGATCTGATGATGAGCGGTCAGTCTAATCCTCCTCCCTCATCTCACTCCTTGTCCTAGTGGTGCTGTACAACTCGGTGGCTGGCAGCCTGCTCTGCCAGGTAATGTATTCGTTGCTGCTGATGCCCCTGAGCACAGTTCAACCTCTTCTGAGCCATTTAATGGCCTTGTTGGAGCACCTAAATGACTTCAACAGGTTGCTGCCAGACAGAGACTTCATGGAGGAACAAGAACTAGGGATGGACGCTCAGATAACCTGTTTAGGTCAGTGGATTTTCACCTGCTTGATTGACCGTTGATTGATTTGTTCTTGATTATTGTAATGAGCAGTTACAGCAACATTTTTACACTTAAGCTCATTCTTCCAGGAGATAATATGGACTAGTTTATCAGTAACGACTTCAATCTTCTCTACAGATGGAAGTGAAGAAAACAAATGTCTTGGACAACAGCAACAGGGGGAGGAGGAGTGCAAATGGGGTTGGCTGTTGGACCTGGAGCGGACTGTGGCGTTGGCAGTCGGCCGTTGCCTCGGTGGTATGCTGCAAGGCCCGCTGCCCTCTCTCCAGGAGAAAACATCAGAGTCTTGGCTATCAAATATCCTCTTCAGGAATGGGCTTGAGATGGACTTGGAACAGCTGGGTAGGAAAACATACTGCTTGGCAACTGCCAACCACTAACAACTGAAGGCAGTTTTCATCCCAAGATTAATGTTGCACCAATGTGCCCTCTGATGTGGTAACAGTTAAACCACATTTTAAGCTACATTACAGTACATGAAAGCACGCCAAATGTTTTTAAAGCCTATGGGTAAACAGGATGTTATTGAGACTACTACTGAGTAAAGAGGAATGTTAAAGGGTTTTTTGTTTAAATAAAACTGTCAGCTACTTAATAAGTAGCTGACATTAGAAATGGACAAGGAACATGGGGACAGAGTAAGGGGCATGACATGCAGCAATGTTACCTATGTTACAGTGTTGCATAGTAACATGGGACAGCAGATTAACTAGGTTATAAATGACACACACTTGTTAACAGCCATTAAATTATAATTTAATCATTCAACTGAAGAAGTTGACTGTATTTTAAAATGTGGCGTGCAGTCTCGTTCATTTTTCCTGCGTCCCATGTGATGCTTTGTCCTGTAGACTCTAGCATGGCATGGCTGACTGAGGTGGCACTACTGGGTGGCAGTGATGCCAGGCTGGCTGAGCTGAGGGTGAATGAGGAAACAAGGACTTTACTGGAACTGGCACTGGGCTCCTCCAGAGGCCCAGCAGGTGGCCTGTGGCGTAAGATGGAGGAGTATGCTCACAGCAAAGGTACTTTGGCTTACGTGTATGAGCACATGTTGTATTTGAAAGTGAATATCCAGGTAACGCAATTTTCTAGATCTCGTTTAAAAGACAAATGATGAATATCTCATCTGTGTACGTGTACGTGCCATGAAAACTGTAAATAATAAAACATCTTGTGTTTTTAATTATGGTGTTTAGGATGTATTTGTGACTTTATTTATAATTATGTTGTATTGTTTTGCTGCGAGAATAGAATGGGAGAGCGGAGACTCTTCAGGTAACTGTTTGCTGCAGACTGTCTGTCGCTGCAGTCTGGCTGCTCTGCTGAAACACACTGGGCTGCAGAATGAAGCCTGTTGGGACGACAGGTCAGTAACACAACATACAATAATTACCGAAATTCTCACTCCTGTACATTTTATAGTGACACACTAAATTGATCTTTTGTAGTTTTTAAAGGATGGAATGAATTTAATTATTGTATAATATCGATATTGCAGTGCAGAACAATGCTAATTATCCACTTTATCTTGAGACAGATATGAGTCCTGTGAGATGCTGCTAGATGTTTATGAAGCGGTTTATAAAATCAGAAGCACTCTGTTGGCCCATAAAAACTCTCCAAGGACGTCGCAGGTGCAGGCGGCTGCCAAACAGGTACATTACTAAAATTATTCCACTTTGTTATGATCAAATCGGTGTCGTAGTCGAGTCAACAACCTGAGTCCAAGTTGAGTCTTGAGCTCCATTGTTCGAGTCCGAGTGACCAAAGAATAATCTGATTTGAGTCCCTGTTACCTGAGTCAGTCATCAAAGTCTACATTAAACACAATTGAAACAGCTCTCACCATTTCATACTTTCTGTGTATTGCATCACCATTCTGCTGAGCAATTTAATACAGACTAATTATTTATACAAAGGCAGAGTATACGCTTCAGTGTAAGTGTGCTGGATACAGCATGGTGCGGGTGAATTGGTTTTAATTTCAATTGTCTTATGCTAAATTATTATATCCTATTCCAAAAAAGTTTGAGTCCTCGTCTCCAGTCAGTGCTTGAGTCCAGGTCATCGGTGCTGAGGTCCAAGTTGAGTCACAAAAATCTGGACTTGAGTCAGACTCAGGTTTGAGTTCTGGACTCAAGTACTACAATACTGGCTCAAATATATGTAATTCAGTTATTTTTGACAGAGTTAAATAATTATAGAACAATTTATAAACAAGCTTAATGTTTATACTTCACATATAACCCAAAAATTATGCTTGGCTGTGTTAATAAAACATACAATTACACTTTATATTAAAGAGACACATTTTATTTTCATCATTTTTTTCCCCCTACCTTACAAAGGACTCAGAAATAATCAGATTAAAACAGGGAAAACACAGGTGTATTTACCAAATAGACTATGTCTTTGCTTTCTTGAATTGCAGACTGTTCAATCTACCCAGAGCCCTGATGCAGGGAGGCAAGAGTCAGGCACCTCAGTGGAGCAGGGAAGGGATTATGGGCAGCAGTCAGGGGGTTGCTGTAGCCAGGAAGTGCAGGTGTCTCCACCCCCAACAGCCAACCACAACCAGGAGGAGGCTACAGAGGAGGACACATTTGGCAACAGTCATGTGTACCTGTCAGGTCAGAAAAAGCATATCTCTATTTCTGACCTTAGTCCACTAATGTTAAAACATTAAAATCACAACACATCAGATTTTTTTTTTTGTGTCTCTTCTGTATCTGCAGAAGTCCTAGAATCGTTCATGGCTACCCGAGAGGCCATGCAAGTGCAGCAGAATGTGACGGTGTACGAGTCGTTTGGCACTTCCACCCTCCCCAGCAGCATGGAGAGCCCTGTCAGCCCAGAGAAGGAGCCGGATCCTAAACAGCAGTGGGAAAAGCAGAGGGAGTCTGAGGAAAGCTTGTCCTTCCCTGCTGCCTGCCATTTGGTTGTTTCCCGCTGTCTCTTCCTCCTGCTGGGGGTCAGGCCTGCATGGGTGGAACCTGCAGACAGGGAGAACAGTCAGGCTGTGAACACTGGAGCAAGGTAGAGTTTGTGTATGTTTGGTTTGTTTTAGAGCAGTTGTGTTTCCTGGGAGCTCTTTCTGCATTAACTATCTGCAACAACTCACTTTCAGGAACTCATCGACAGAATCCTTTACAATGGCTTCTGATGGCCGAAAACAGGTTTGTGTTGTGCTGTATCAAATTTTGGCTCTAAACCTCCTCGTCTGTGCTAATATACTTTTTCTCACTTAGTCGGACCTATCCAAAAACTCCTTGGGATGTTCCAAGAATAAAATGGGTAAGTGGAATAGGTTTACTTTTAAATATATTTACAATTAATGCATTTTTTTTTTAGAAATGTCATAACCTATGTTGCTGTATCAAGGGGAAGTTAGCTTTTTTGCCTAGAGGTATACAAAAAGGTTGATACCAGTTTCATATTTGTCTGCTAAATGTAAGGCTGCAGCTGCTTAACTTGACTTTGTGTACAGACTGGAAAGAAGGAAAAACTGCAAGGTCTGTCTGAACCCCCAGTACAACCACAAATAATGGGTTTTATACTTTTGTCTTTCTATGTATGAAATCCAGTAACAAAGTCACAAACAAAGGCCGTGCTCTGAGGGCTAAAAACTACAACAGTCTTACATCATGGGTTGATCTTTTGTCTTCATTTATTTACCATCAGTAAGCCGATAAAGCTTTAAATATGCTAGTTGGTGGATTTTTTTTTCCTTGTATAGAGCCAGGCTACCTGTTTCCCAATTTTCACTGTTTATGCTATGCTAAGCTAATAAAATGCTGGCTGAAGCCATATACAGTATGTCATGGACACTTAAATGTACTGTATTTTTGGAGCTAAATTTAAGTAGTCCCGTGTAATAATCTATCAACCAATTTATACATTAAAGTGAATACATTAAAAAAATATTTTTGGTGTTAGAAGTGTTTCTTTGGTTAGGGCTAGACTTTCCATTATTTCCAGAGGAACATGCTGACAGATCTATATGAAAGAGTCCACATACACTAGATGAATAATTATAACAGTATAAGTGGTGTTGAAAAAAATTGCTTCACAAAAAGACTTAGACAGTATTTGCCTTTTTTCTTCTGGCCTGTCTGTTCCAGGCTTACCTCTTTGTTCTCTGGGCATCATGAAAGATGCATGGGATCGCCTGCGGCAGTGCATCAGCCCGACCACTACTACGTCCCACTACAGCAACAACATTTTGCCAATTATTAACCAGGTGTTCCACTTTGCCTGCGGGAGCCTGATTCACTTGCCCTCTTCACCAGCACTACCAGGTGGACAGAACTGTGGTCAGGCAGATCCAAAGGCCATTACTTTTGCTATACTGCAGCAGCAACAGAGGGCTGAGGTAATAAGATTTTTATATAATATTAGCAGCAACACAGAAGAAACACTTATGTAGCACATTTAGTTGTTTGTTCACATACTGAATTCATCATGTTAGTGGTGCTCTACATCTCAAAGTCACATAGGCCCAAGTGTAGGTGGAAAAAATTAAAAACGCAACAAAACACAGTGCTAGAAATTATTTGGAACACATAGTAATTAGTTTGGACCTTGAAATAATCACAGAACAACTCTATTTCCTTTTTTTTATGGTTAGATGCGTCTAGAGGCCTTGTGTCAGATGTCATCCTTCCTGTCCAAGATGGAAGAAAAGAGCAGTGGTTTCACAGTCTCCTCTCAGTTTCCTGCATTGTTGCAGTCTGTGCAGCTTCAGTTCCTGTCTGGATGCTTTGCTTTGGGAACGCAGATCATTAGCTCGCATTATGGAGCTAATTATGAGACGCAGCATTACATGGTGTATATTGTAATAATGCTATCACAATGTTTGTGCAGGTGTTTATGATTAGTAAAGAGGAGAGAGATCATGAATGCTTAATCCAGCCAGATGAAGATAAACACTGATATATTAATATCATTTTTGTTCTTCACGAGAATGTTATTAGATAAATTACTCTTCAATCCCCCTTATCTCAATCCAGTCAGGTACACAGTCAGCTTCCCTGGACACACAGAGAGAGCTACAATCTGCTGCCCACACCTTCTACCAGCAGGTGGTGTGTGTCCTCAGACAGAGGGTGCTGTCGGAAAGAAAGCATCCAGGTTTGTTCATTGTGTTTCACATGTTTAACGCCCGAGGCTTTGTCCTACCTTCTGTAGCTTATTTTTCCTGCTCTTTTTTGCAGCAGCTTTCATTTCAGTTTGCCTGTAGCTGATCCGGTATATTGTCTCTGTCCTACCCAGGTTCTTGCCAGCACCTTTTACTAGCCACTATGTTTTCATTAAATTTCTGCTACCAACCAGTTGACCTGGTGCTGGTCATCAGATGTGGCATCCTGGAAGTACTTTCCATGCTGACCAACAACAGCTGTACTCTGAAGAGCCTGGGCTGGTTTGCAGCCTCAACATCTGGATCCATGCTGCTAAGTGGGGCTGTCAGACTAGCTTGTGCCCGCCTGCTTCAGATATTGACTGTAGCTGCAAGGTGAGAATGTGGAGCCTTTAAACAGCTGTAAAGAAGTGACTTCTTGAATCACTTCTTCTGTTGTCTACTTCATTAAAAAATACACTTTGTTTACAATTGCATAACAAAATGTCCTGTGATCAGTTCTTGTGAAGATTCGCTGCCTATTGAAATATCCCATGCTCTGATGGATGTGATGTGTGAGCAGCTTCAAAATGTCCTGCACACTTTGCACCAACACCAGACAGCAGAGAGAGGAAGAGCTGAGAGAACAGACTTGGACTCCAACAGCAAGAGCGCAAATCTAGTCGGTGTGGAAAACTTTGCTATACTAAACGTTACAAAAATATTTGACAAAGTCTTGTCAATGCAATATAATTAAACAGCACAGTTTAATTTTAATGAAGTTAATGAAGTGACCCTTCTGTTATGGATTACTGCTTTCATCTGTTTTTGATGTTACAGGAGTGGAAAGCAGCAAAGTGGCTGAATCTCAGCTTGCAGATTTCTTGGTGTTTTTAAGGCGTGTATTGTCATTAAGAGTAATGAAAAGGCTTTCTACTTTTGTCAAGTGGATCGATCCACTCATGGCCATTATTTCACACAAGTGCTCTTTAGGTAAGACATTTAAAAATATTTAAAACAGCATAGATCTTGTTTATCCTGTGGAACAGTTTACATATGATTCCTGTTGACCCATCACTATCCTCTTTTCAGGACCTCCATACTTCCAGAACCTTCGAACTAAGCTTTTAGCCTTCCATGTTTTAGAAAGACTGTTGCCTGCTTGTTCTGAGCCAGTTCAAATTCAACAGGTATAATGCAACATGCAGTGACTTTTAAACATATCACTGTTGCTGTTTTGTTTTTTTGCAAGAAGTTACTCAGTTTATGTAATTGAAGACTTCATAATGAAAATTGCAGCTCCTTGACTTGTTTTTCTATTTTTCACCTCCTTGTAGATTGTTAAACAACTCTTTCAGCTATTGTCTGTTTATATGTGGGAGGAACCACTAACCGAGAGGAACCGCAGTGATGTGGCTGAAAAAGACACAAGGGTACTTTACAAAATTAAGCACTTCCTAATATACGATACTTTTTTACTACACTAATATTCAGCCGGTATAATGTCTTATTACTAACTAAAACAAAATAGCCCTTGCAGTTCAGTGGCCTGTCCTTTGCAAATGATCTACATATACATGAGTGTATATAGTAACATTCTCCTTTTGTAATTTACATACATCTAAGATATAAACTGTCCTAACTCCACTTACCATTCAGAGGAAAATAGTTACACAAAATGTGGCTTCAAACTCTTCAACTTAAGTTATGCGGTGTTAGTTTTTAATTGTTTTTTTTATCAGAAAGGAAAACTGTTATTGTTACTGGTTGAAAATAGTGAATGAATGCAGTAATTCAAGAGAAAATGCTGTGAAGTGTGAGGTACTCCTGGCATTAATGGCTTTGAAAACAGCAGGGCTACTTGTTGGAACAGATGGGCCTGTTCTTCACAGAGGATGAAAAGTGCTAGAAGGGAGAAAAATAAAAAGTACATTTAATCAGTGTCAACCTACAAAGAATATTCCATTAATACACAATCTATCCCTAAGAGGATAGTATGATACTTATTTAATAATAAATTTACAGTACAGTTGATCTCTGTCAGCCAGTTATGTTTTCATGTGACTTTGCAATTTTATGATTTTTATATTTTAGCTGCATTTGCAATTTTAAAGAATTATGTCTTGTTTTGTTGAGTAAAATAATTATTTATGCATTTATTATTTTGGACATGGCATGTATTGTATGTACAGTACAGTATACTGCTGGTACACAGTGCTTAAGTGTTATTATCCAATGCATGTTTTGCAGAATCTTGGCAGCTATGATGAATGTATTCCCATTGGAGATTTTTCCTTTGACCCACACAAGCTAATCTGCTGTACTTTGGAGAGTGGAAACATCCTGTCCCACGGCTCAGGAGGAAAAGGTTATGGCCTGGCAACTACTGCTATCACCTCTGGCTGTTTCATATGGAAGGTAGGGACTGATGGTGTGTTGCACATAGAGAAAATAACCACACTCATGCAGTAATAGGATATTTCTTAGTTTATTGAGCAGATTTGATGCTTCAAATGTGCTGAGAAAACAACTCCATTAACAGGATATGTACACAACTTCTCTCCTCAGTTCTACATTACCAAAGAAAATAGAGGCAACGAGGGCACATGCATTGGGGTTTCACGCTGGCCGGTCAGAGATCACAACCACCATACCACCAGTGACATGTGGCTGTATCGTGCTTATAGCGGCAACCTGTACCATGGAGGGGAGCTGGTCCGCACACTTCCCTCCTTTACCCAGGGTGACACAATCACCTGCATCCTAGACATGGAGGCCCACACCATATCATTTGCTAAGAATGACAAGGTCTGAACAACTATTTATAGTCAGTGTTCAGTGGGTTTTGCTTTAAATAACTGGTTGTTTTTCCTCATAGGAGCCAAAGTTGGCATTTGAAGGTGTGGTTGCCTCTGAACTGTACCCATGTGTGCTGTTCTACAGCAGTAATCCCGGGGAGAAGGTACTTAATATACTATAATGTTGGCTCCTCCTCCATAGGATTTCCTGTGCTTTTGAATCCTTTGTCAGCTTTACAGTAGTTTTGTCTTGCTGCCAAAAATTTGTAGCCCCCTATTGATATTCTTCATCCACAGTTAATTATGACAGTATATATCTTCTCCACACATCCACCTTACCTGTACAGATACAGTCAGATGACCACAGTGAATCTGAGGAAACATTGACCATAAATATACTGCATCTTTTTGTCTAGTAACCATTTGTCTGTTCCAGGAAATGTTATGAAATTTCAGGTAGTCATTTTTAGTTCAAATGTATTTTGTAGCACAACAAAATTGTGCTTCCGTATTCCTTACAGGTGGCACTGTGTGATCTCCAGATGCGAGGCATGCCCAGTAATCTACTTCCTGGGGAACCTCTCTGCAGCCCTCAGACTACTGTGCTGCTGGAGTCAACAGTGCAGCTCCTCCGTCGGCTCCATCGGTGTGATCACTGGGCCTCAAACATTAACCAGTACATCCATGCACATCTGGAGCTCATTGGTCCTTTGTTGAAAGACAGTGACCTAGGAAGCTTCAGTCAAGGTCAGTGACATGGTTAGACAGTTTAGTTTGCTTTTGTGTGTGGTACAAACAAAGTTTTTTGAAGCCATATGATTGTGTGTGCAGTTTTGCTCCCATCTGCTCAGACCCAGTGAACTAATGTGCAAATGTATTATTACAAATATACTGATGGATAGTAATTTCAGTGTTCTTAAATTCTCAGACAAGCTGCCTTCACTAATGTACAGTATTACCTCGAGTCAAATTTGTGTAACACTTCCCCCTATGATTTAGACAGAACTCTCTGCAATAGTTTGTATATAGTCCTCATCTGTGTAAAACCATCTTACAATATATACAGTACCCTCCCTGAGGTAAGCACTTTAATTTTTCATTTACTAATGTAGGTTTCACATTGTCTTTAAACTAAAATGAAGGTAGCAAAACAGACTGAACATTCACCTGTTGTCCAATGAATAGACAACAGGTTTGAAGAACACATGGATGGGGGGCTGTGGCTCAGGAGGTAGAGCGGGTTGTCTACTAACCCAAAGGTTAGGAGATGACCAGCTTTTCCAGTCCACGTGTCGAAGTGTCCTTGAGCAAGACACTGAACCATGGTGATGTCACCCATGTGTGAGTGCTTGGGAGTGCGAATGGGTGAATGGCCAAGTAGTGTGAAAGCGCTTTGGGTGTGCTGCAGTGCATAGAAAAGCGCTATACAAGTATAAGACCATTCTCTCAATCTCACATTCTCCTACAGGAATCAGTCCCATATGCTTGGAGAAGGAAGAGAATGAAAGTGACAGAGATGTGGTCGCTGACACCACAGGGGAGTTGCTGGGGCATTGTCGGTCCCTGTCAGAGGCCAAGCTGACTGCCCTTTGCACTGAAGTGTGGCCGGTACTGGCTCTGATTGGAGGAGTGGACAGTGGTCTGCGTGCTGGAGGTCTTTGCCTTCACAAGTCCAGTGGCCGCAGGGCTTTTCTACTTGGTGTCCTGAAAGAAGGAAGCTCCCTGGCTAAGGTTCAGTGGGAGGAGGCAGACCTCTCTGTCAGGTATTACACATATGTAATATATACCCACTTATAAAATGTTTAAATGCCTTTGCATATGTTTCTTAATGATGATTTTCATTAATTTCCATTAAACAAATCTTATTTTTCTTGTCTTGGTCCTCTCAGCATGTTTATTACTCTGTATAACCCTTTTCTGTTAGTGTTTATTTTCCTCCTTTGTAATTTGTCTTACATTTTCCATCATTTACCCCCCTGATTTTACTCTTTTCTTGCTTCTTCCTCTTCATTCTTAAATCCATTAATCCCTGTTGAATCCGTCCTGGTGTCACTCCATGCTGTATTTATGGGTTCTTCCTAATAACTAAGCTCCATGAATTCTTGGTCACCCAGCGATATGCCGATCCTCTCGTTGGAGCCCTGCGACACATCCTGCTGCAGTGTTACCCGACTTGGAGGCCTCAAACCAACTGTGTTGTTAGATCTGATTTATTTGATGGGGCTGCTGGAGGAACAGGGATGGCTGGAGGCTCACCCAGGCCCCAAAAGGAAATATTCAGAAGACAACATGAAGGAGAGTGAGACACAGAGATGTTTGGATGAAGAGATGTCCGAAGATGAGAGGAAAAGGTTTAAGGATCAGAATGTTGAGACAGACCCCTTCATATCGCTGTCTTCAGTCAAAGATACCACAAAGATCGTGGACTCCCAGGAGTTGTCCTCTCTGCCCCAACTTCCTCAAACCTCCAATGCATTTGCCCTTGAACTGAGAGCAGTTAGAGTCTCATTCCTTCTCACTGGGGCTTTGAAATCCCTGACTGTCATTTTTAGCTGTGAGAAGCTGTCAGATTTGCTTCTAGTGCCTAAACAGGACCCGCCCGATTCTTCAGTGAGTCCCCTTTCTAGCCCAAACCTTGACCAGGCCAAGGCCAGCAGCAAACAATGGGATGAGAGTGCTGAGCTGAGATCGGTGCTGCAATACGTGGTGCAGAGCATGGTGAAGTGGGCAGTCAGGCCCTGTCCAATCAAACAGAGTGTGTCTCTTGCTGACCTGGAAAGGGCTCAAATCATGATCTACAAAGGAGCTCTTAACAAACAAGATGACAAAGAACGCAAAGGTATCTACATTATTTTTTGTTAGATTACTATATTCTAGAGTTTAGGCACAAAACTTATTTGGCCTTTGCACTAAAGACTTTTTTGCTGGAGCAACAGTAAAAAACCCAAACATTTATTTTAGATGTTATAACAAACATCAGATTCTCAATTTAGGGAAGCTGGTTAATTCTGTGTCAGCCAATTGTTGCAGCTCTAGTTGCATGGAAAAAGGTTTTAAAAGGAAGATGGCGAAGTGAGTAAGCTAATAATGCTAAATCATCTACATTCACACAGGACTGGAATTTTGACTTGCAATTTGCTTATGAAGACATAACTCTTCAAGTACTAGAGAGTTTGCACTGACAGACTACTAACGGCTCAGTTTTATTGTATTCAGGGTCAAAAAAGGGTTAATAACAACTGAGTGTGCTCTAACCATCATCACTGTCTCCTTGCAGAATCAGGCCACCACTCTTCCTCTCAGCCTGTTTCCAAGTCCTCCAGTTCTGTGTCCTTGTACAGTGCGGGTTCAGAGGGCACTGCCATCTTTGGCCAATCCAACAGAGCCTCTGCCTCATCCTCTAATACTGACTTGGCATCTTCACTGCCAACAAACTTGCAGGCAGATGGCCTTGATAATTGCAACCCTTTCCTCCCCATCAGCCTGCTCCAGTGAGTATAGAATTGGTTAATCATAAATGATTTTCATTTGATTTCCAAGTATTAGAGGTCCAGCACATTCTCAGAAACATTTTGAATAGACGCAAATTATCATCAGAGTTATGACTGATTACTACAGACCTGTATCGTTTGGCAGCAGCAACTTTTCTGATGTCCAGGGAATGGGTGAGTTAGGATCTATGTTAAAAATGGAATGAGAGGTTCTGCTTGCACTGTCTTTAACCTAAGCTTGCAGCTCTGCTTAACTATTCTTGTAACCGAAGCAACTGACAGTAGTGTCAGTCAGTTATTCCTGAGGTAAACAAAGCGCTATATGTATTCAGAATACAATCAAAGCACACGAGGGAGAAGAATTTTGACAAGAATGGTGCCAAGCTCTTTGCCACATTCTTCTGAGTTACCAGGCTTGACTTGTTTAGGCATCTTAAACCAGGTTATATCAAGCTCACCATATGCCTTCAGAAGTTAGTTTGGGACTGAAAACTGGCAGTTTGGCACCACTGACACTGTTATTACTGTATACACTGTACCGTCAATCCCTCTAGGCACCTGGTGCTGACTCGGTTACCTACACTTACCG